AGAGAGAGAGCTATCATGAATCATGATTCATCACAGGACTTCTCTTCTGTGTTACAAGAAAAAAGGGTTGAAGCCCACTGTAATCCTTGTACTTTGTGAAAATATTCGTTACCATCCCTTTACTAAGGAAATGTTTGATGTCATCCCTCTACTAAACCATTTTTGTTCAATGTCATCTCTAATTGGATGTCATCCACATTTCCATTAATTTTGATTGTTAATTACTAACGGTCAAAGACTTAACTTTTTGTTTACTAATTATTTTTTCTACCAAAGAAGACAAGTGGGATCATTTTTTTCTTTTGGTTTTGTATTTTTATTTCTTTCTAATTTTGGAGTTTTAGTAGTGTTAATTCTATCTATTTAATGGTTTATATTCTGTGATTGATGGTTTATGATAGGGACAATTAGAGCATGTAAATTCCTATAATGTGTTGCACTATTTTTGTTTTTGTTGCTCTATTTTTTTTAAGTCATGACCTGTATAAGCAAGCAATAGAGCAAAGTTTATAAAGACTAACAGATGCCAAATTACAATCCTTCTAATCTACTGCACTTCTATTTTTTTTTTGTTAAGTTATGTTTTTCTATTATGTCCTGTACCTACTTTAGCAAATCTTACATTTATACAGCTGAAAATGCTCAAAAGATAGATATAATTTGGCAATTAACATGACAAAAAAATAGTCATATATTCCATTTCACATTTGCAATACATAGGAGATTGCTCTGGCTTGGCATAAGGGGCCCATTACAAAAGTAGACAAAAAGACCCTCTACAAATGTAGATAACTATCTAACATAACTTAATTGCCAAATAAGCAATACCATAGAAAACACATTTTCAAATTCAACCAAATTGAAGCAACCATCTCATGATCTCTGATCTTTTTCCCCATTTCAGAGTTCAAAATTTTCAAATAGTTAATCTCTCCATGTAGGTCTAAATTCTCTCTTTTCAATTATAGGAGTAGGTTTGAATTCTCTCTTTTCAATTAGAGGTGCTTATTCATCAATGTTTACTCCTTATCCAGCAACATGTTATCCAAAATTCAACTCAAGCCTCATCATTCTTCTACAACAATATAAAACAAAAACTATATGTATCAAAATCCAAATCAACCATAATACCACAGCACAACCCAAAATCAACAACAATTAATAACAGATCTCACCAACCCAAATTCAACACAAAATCAACAAGAAAATTCATGATTAACAGTAGCTATTACAACCCAAAATCAACACAAAATAAATGAGAAATTCCACGGTTAACAGCAGTTGCTCGAACACATTCTGGGTTTAGGTGATTCCATGAGTAGGGGAAGAAAAGGTAAGATGATTTTTGGCAACTTTGGGCAATTTTGGGTTCGGCATTTTTGGGCGATTTTGGGCGATTTTGGGTGTAGGCTTTTGTGGGTTACGGTGAAAATGGCGAAGAAAGAAAGAAAGCCAGAACATATAGAGAAGAAGGGTGGAGACGAAGAGCAACCGATTAGGTGAACTAGTGAAGATGGTGCGTGATTCGAGTGAAGAAAATCCAGATGATTTTCAACAATTTTAGGTGATTTTGGGTTCAGCAAATTTGGGCAATTTTAGGCATAGGGTTTTCTTGTGAAGATGGCGAAGAAACAAAGCAGGAAAAAGAACTCTGAACTCTGAAGGGTAAGGTAAACTACACAAAATGATAACTGACCTTTATC